ACCCGTGGGCGGCCGAAGGGACTTGCTGGGCCTGGTGCCCGTGTAGGGGTGGGGGGAGCCCCTCACTCTCACTCTGAGACCTGAGGCCCCCCTTTCAGGAGCGGAGGCAGCAGCGGCCCGGCCGCCCCTTGACTGGAAGGGAGGGAGGGAGGAGAGGAAACGCACAGACGGCAGCCGGACACGAGGAACCAACGGGTCGCCTTTCGGGCCAGGACACACCTGCGACCTGCCCAGTCTGCCCAGCGAACCTCCTCGCCCAGGGCTCCCAGCCAAAGCCCCCTCCGCCCCTCCCGGGCTCCCCGGATGCCCCCGGCCCTGGGGCCTGCGTGTGGCTGTTCCCGGGGCCTGTGCCAGCCCTTTAGGAACCGAATGAAAACAGGCTGATTAATCACGTTTCCTCCAAGCGGCCAGGAACGGGCTGGGCTGCCCCGCGAGCTCGTGGCCTTAAAAGGAGAAGAGCCTTCTGCCGCCCGAGCTGGGCTTCTGGGAGCTCCTCTGAGAGGCAGCCCGGCCCGGCCAGCGGCTCTGCTCCCAGAACTGGGGTGCACCTGGGCCCCCCCAGGTCATTCCCTGCTGGCCCGGCTCTAGGCTCACTGGCTAGTCATCCCTGTGGGAGGAAGGGCTTCAGTTAGAAACAACCAAGGACGTCCCGGGGGCACAGGCCTCGGCCCGAGGGAGCTGTAGGTGGGGACGCGGAGGGGAGTGGAGCACGGCCCCTGAGAACCCTGACCACCTGTGGCCGGGCACCTGCCTGTCTTCCCGTCTCCTCCAGGCCCCACGGCCACATGGCTCCGGGCTGTCCCTGGTTGGGATCCACGTGAAGTGATGGGAGAGCGGCCACCCCGGCCTGGGCCTCCCGGCCACTCCCTCTGCCCTCTCTGCGGGCGGGGCAGTGCCCTGCTCCCTGCACCTCAGGGCTCGGCCAGCGGGGCCTGTGACTCATGGGGAGCGTTCGGCGAAGCCCCATTTTTGGAGAAACTGGGAAATCTCTGCAGAAACAAACAAGCCACTTCAGCTCTGCCCTGGGACGGCCTGCTCCCTGCTCTTCGCTGCCCAGCAGGTCCGCAGCTCCTGATGAGCCTCCCAAAAGCGGGTGCTGGTCCCTGGGGGGGGGGGTCCACGCGGGCCTGGCCCCCACCGCCTCCCCTCTGCTCCCAAAGCCCCGTGCGCAGAGGGCCCAGCTGGGTTAAGCCTTGCCGTCCGGTCTCGAAAGGGTTGGTCCTTCTTGAACGAGGGCCCCACACGTCCTTGGTCAGACAAGTCTGGCCGCCCTGGGCCTGACAGCAGAGCTGGGCGGAGGGGCCGGTTTACGGCATTCGCCTCCTGGGAATGGCACCTCCACCCCCCAGCCTCCCCCAACGCCCCCCCAAATGCCCCAGCCTCACTGCCTCCTGTGGAGGCTGCTGCTGCCCCAGATCGTCCTCCCTCCTTGCCTGGCAGGTGCAGTGGGTGCTGCTGGGGTCCCTGGAGGTTCCTGGGGGTGCAGGGAGCCCTGCCCTGCTCGCCCCCCCTCCCGTGCAGTGGCATGAGAAGGTGCAGGGCAGAGCGCAGGCCACCTGCGCCGGGAGCAGTGAGCTTCCAACAGCAGGGCCAGGGCCAGCGAGCTCGGGTCGGACGGGAACCACTGGGCAGAGACGGGGGGCGGGGGTGGGGCAGAAGGGGAGAAAGGAGACCGTGGAGCACAGCGCACCGGGGTATCCCGTTCTCTGCCCGGGGTGGGGGTGGGGGCTGAGGGTGCTGAGAGGAGCCTGCAGGCTGCCTGCTCAGGCCGACATCGATGGAGATCAAGCAGCTTCTATCCAGGGAGGGCCCTCGTCCGGGCGTGGACGCGAGGAGCCTGGGGAGGGAGTGGAGGCCGAGAGGCTGTTGGAGGCTTCCCCAACGTCCAGGCGGGAGGTGAGGGGGCAGGGAGGCCCCCGGCCCCCCAGGCTGTGCCTCTGTGAGCCCAGCCGGCGCAGCGACGCTCCCCCTTATTCTCCTTGGGGGGAACGCTGCTTGGCCTGG